GCTGAGGCCTGCCTATGGGCATGGCTGAGGCGAGGCTGTCCTGACTGGAACAATTGTGCTGAGCCTTTCTGACTCTGAATTGTAACCTGTTAAATTTCCTAATGAACCCCATAACTATGAGTATGATTTCTGAGTTCTGTGTGGCTACTGCAATGAATTGTCAAACCAAACAGAGAAGTACAAAGTGCTATTGGAGGGAATTCATAATTCTCACAATAAGTGGAAATGTCAAGGAATTATCCAATGAGTAAAGCAGTGGAAATAAAGAGAAAAGAGTAAGATTCTTCAATGAAACAGAAGCTAAGAACTTTATAATAATAATTTTTAAAAATCCCTGCATAAATATTTATTTTCCCACATAATTACCTTCTGTTTCTTCTTCCATATATGCATTTAGCCCTTGTATTGTTGCTTTATCAATAGATATATGGACTTTAAGTTTATCCAATTCTTCTTGAAGATTGAGTCTAGGGAAATTAAAACAGTAAGTGATTATTTAAAATGTAATGTGTAAGGGATAATGTAGCAACCAAATAATGACAGAAAAGGTACTTAAAATATAGAGAGAGTAAAAAAGGCAAAAATTATTGATATTAACAAGTCCTTAAAGTTGTCATTTTAATGACAAACTGGAAAATAAAATGTTATTTCAACAACTGATTTTTGTTTACTTGTATTTTAATAAACAGACTAAATCCTTGAAACACACAGTACTGTAACATAAATTATGATTTATTTATAGTACCATTTAAATTATATATATACATTAATTTGCCCAACAACATTCTAAGGTAAAATAGTAATAAAAAATGTTAGTACATACTATGAAAGCAACAACACTGAATCTCTAGATGTCAAAGAAAGAGAAGGAACACTTGATATTAAACAAGAATTGAATTATTATGGTGGGAGCTATAGATCAAACACTATATGTGGGGTCTCTAACTTTGAAACCTGAGTAAGAACTGACATTTACGCCTTGGGATAGACAAACTGGGTGGACTACAAGCTATTGGAAGTCAAATATCTGCTGAATGGAAAAAGTGAATATTAAGTTTATCTGTTTGGAATTTCATTTAAAAAGACTTCCTGCCCTAATCTGAAGACAGAGTCAACCACATGACATTAGAATTCTAATCCTACAATATTGGGTTCAAAGTATGAGGAGACTTCTAAGTTCATGAAAAAAATGGAACTAAATGATAGTGGAATTTTTCCATGAATGTTTTGAAGCTACTTCATCTATATTGAAGCATTCAGAGAGACAGAATTATCCCCTGTAGGGAAGCTACTAGAAGTGAGAGAATACAAAGGAGAAAAACTACTACAGAAAATAACTCTCAAGAACAAGTATGCAGATTAAGAATTATTATATATATGAGTAAGTTCAAGGCCAGGAATGACAACCTAGCTATCAATCACACAACACAAAATGGGAAAACACACAAAAGCAAATAGAGATAATGGAACAACTCAAAAAGAGCTTTAAAATGTAAGTATTTTAAAATGTTAAAAATAAATAAAGGTGATAAACACACATAATAAAAAACAGGAATTTCTGAAACATCATCATAAGATAAAGAAAATAATCAAATAATATATCTGGAAATGCTAAAATAACTAAAATTTAAAACAATACAATCTTTGAACTATTAAAACAAAATGTGTAGGTTAAATAGAAAATTGCAAATATGGAAACAATATACTGTGGAACATATTAAGGATAAAAATGGTCATTATATATGAACAAAGGAATGGTTTATCAGTAAGCTATGAACATTCTAAACTTTTATGCACTCAACAAGAATTAAAAAGAAAATAAGTAATCTCTTCTGTTCACTCAGTATATTTCTTGAAAAGAACTGACGTTTACAGTTTACCTCAGTGTAGACTTAGTTTTTCTGATTCATGTAAATACACAAACGTAAGATTTTAAAATTGGGATCATATGATATCTCTCTGCAGCTTCTCAGGCTGATTGGAAGAACTCATAACCCACCCACACAATGAGGAAGTATGGATTAGCTTCCTGATTTGTTTGGCCAAGAACTTAGCAACATGCTGAAAGCAAGATGGTCCAACAAAACAAAAGCAGATGTAGCTTACTTATTAACTCAGTATCAGAACAAGGGTTTGATTGTTAGAAATGCCATTTCTTTATTCTTTACAGGAATGCTATACTTATAATAGCTTGTTCCTTTCAGGAATAATTCACATAGACTCTGTTTTTAATGGAAAATATTTACAGACTTCAGGAAACATGCTGTTATTGAGTCAAAGTAAGCAGCAGTAAACCATATCTTACAAAGGAGGCTGGAGGTCGTGGATAAAGTCCACCCCAACAAAGTGATCATCGGCTCCCTACTGACTGTTGGTTCTGTGAGGACTGCAATTGAACATCGATCTCCTACTACACATAATGAATCACTATTCTAAGACAATGGTCCATACAACTTTGATCCTGACGAGAAAAGAAATACACATAATGAATCCTAACAAGTCTCAGATTTCTGCCTGAAGACACTTTCTAGACCATGATGCAATGAAAGGAGTCTTAAGATGACAGTCTCACTAAATTGAAGAAAACAGAGTTTATGAAGGCTGAAACAGAGGGAATTTGTGAAACACAGTACCCAGAGATGTTGTTGTTGTTAAGTGCCATCGAGTTGGTTCTGACCCACAGCGACCCTGTATAGGGTTTCCAAGGAGCAGCTGGTGAGCTTGAATCGCTGACCTTGAAGTTCAAATGGTTTTGCAGTACTGGTGCATTAACCCACTGCACCACAAGAGAACTCCACCCAGCAACCAGGAAGCTACAAAATCAAAGAACTGTCCAATAAATGGGCATAAGAATTCTTTTGAGTGATGAACTATTTAGTTGCTTATGCATCTTGTGAAAAAGTATAATGGGAGTTACACCACAAAACTATTCCCCAAGGTCATTCAGGACTGGGAAATATTTGATTTCTGCCAAGATTCTCCATTGGATAGAAGGACATTCAGTGAAGAACTCAAAGAGGCACACTAATATTAAGTGGAAACAAGACCAAAACACTCTAAAATTGTGCCGACATTGAAATTACCTGAAACAAATTACTCAGGGGTTTTAACACACATCTCTTGTTAACTGGTGGTAAAAAATACACTATGTCAGTAAGAATGAAAAAGATTAAAAGTGGGTTCAATGTGAATGGTAATTACAGCCAGATGATAGCTTTGAGGCTCACAAAAAACTATCACTTTTTTTTTTTTTCCTTGTTCAGTTGGACAACTTTTTTCGTTCCATCGAGGCATGGAAGAAATGAACATTTTCTTTAAGAAAATATTTTCTCCCCAAAGATTTGTACCTTTATATACAACCATAACTTACCAAGGAAAGGAAATCGGGAAACTGCCTTTTTATTGCTCTCATCTGTCTACATGTTCGGTCACTGTCTTAAGCTTTGTCTCAAATACCTACTGATTTTGGATTGGATATTATATACAGAAGGAGTTGATCTTTCCATAGAAAGATCCTGGAGTCCAGAATTATCTGAACAATGAATTTATTTGTGTCTTCTGTTGTGCTTGTATCTTGCTTTGACAATAAAACTCCTTACTACTTTCTCAAATGCAAAAAAAAAAAAAAAAGAGAGAAAGCTATAAACATAATAGGAACATGAAATCTATGAAGTATGAATTTAGGAAAATTGGAAATTATCAAAAATGAAATGGAACACATAAACACTGATTTTCGACTAGGCATTAGTGATCTGAAATGGCCTGATATTGACCATTCTGAATCTGAGAATCGCATGCTTTACTATGCCAGGAATGATAAACTGAGGAGACATGTAATCATATTCATCATCAAAAAGAACATATCAAGATCTGTCTTGAAGTACGATGCTGACCTTGATAGGATAATATCCATATGCCTACAGAGCACACCTCTGTAGGCATATGGATATTATGGTGCTGTGGGTACATGTGCAGGGTGGCAAGCTGATGCGAACCACAAGGTCAGCAGCAATTCAAGTGCAACAGCCACTCCTCACATTCCCTAAACATGCTGCTATGAGTTGGATTACACTCGATGGCACTTAATAACAACAGCAAACAAGGAAGACCAGTTAATACCACTACTATTCAAATTTATGCAGCAACCACTAAAGTCAGTGAGGATGAAATTAAAGAACTGTGCCAACTTCTTCAGTCTAAAACATGCAATCAATATGTATCAATAATTACTGGTGACTGAAATACAAAGGTTGGAAACAAACAGGAAAGATCAACAGTTGGAAAACATGGCCTTGGTGATAGAAATATTGCTGGAGATTACATAATAGAATTTTGCAAGACTGATAACTTCTTCTTGCAAATACTTTTTTTTAAAATAACAAAAAAGATGACTAGACACATGGACTCACCAGATGCAATACACAGAAATCAAACTGACTACATTGGTGGAAAGAGATGGTGGAAAAACTCAGTATCATCAGCCAAAACAAGGCCAGGGGCAGACTGTAGAACAGACCATCAATTGCACTTATGCAAGTTCAGATTGAAGCTGAAGAAAATTAAAACAAGCCAACAAGAGCCAAAACATGACCTAAACATACCTGAATTTAGAGACTGTCAGAAGAACAGATTTGATTAAGTAGACACTAAAGACCGAAGACCAGAAGAATTGTGGGATGGCATCAAGGACACTGGCATCAAGCAAAAGGTCATTAAGATGACAAGAAAGGAGGAAAATACCAAAATGGATGTCAGAATAGACTGTGAAACTTGCTATCCAGAGCAGTGATTCTAAAGCAAAAGGAAGAATAAATGCGGTAAAAGAGCTGAACAGAAAAATTTAAAAGGCAGCTTGAGATGACAAACATTAAAGCAAGATCTGGAGTTAAAAAACCACAAGGGAGGAACACACTCAGCATTTCTCAAGCGGATGTTGGAAGTGAAGAACATTTCAAGCCTCAACTTGCAATATTGAAGGATTCTGTGGGCAAAATATTGAATGAAAACATCAAAAAAAGATTGATGGAATACACAGAATCACCGTACCAAAAAGAAATGGTCGATGATCAACTATTTCAAGGGAAAGCACATTATCATAAGCCAATGAAACCGAATATAGATTCTATCTGGAAACGGAAGGAATACAAGTTGAAATCTTTCAACAAACTGATGAAGCACTAGAGGCATTCACTCATCTATGTCAAGAAATGTGGATGACAACTACCTGGCCAACTTACTGAAGAGAGCCATATTTATGCGCTCTTATGGTGACCCAATGGAATATGAAGTCAGTGGCCAATATCATTAATATCTAATACAAATCATTTTGCTACACATAATACAAAAAGAGAGAACTGCCAGAAGTTCAAGGTAGATTCAGACAAGGATGTGGAAGGAGGGATGTCATTGCTGATGTCTGATGGATCTTTGCTGAAAGCAGAGAATACTAAAAAAAAAGTTTACCTGT